ATTTGCCTAATGCATTGTGAAGGAAGGGGTAGGTCAGCATTAAAAATATTTAAAACGATGGGGTATTCGCTAGAAACAGCCATTACTCGAAACAGCTGTATGGTCAGCTAAAAATTCAATTAACTAAAAATTCCGTTTTTACAATTCACTACTGTTCGAAACCTCTCAGTTACATTTTATAATTTTTTACTTGTTATGCCATGATTTTAATTAGAAAATAATTAATAATCAATTTAAAAATAAAATATTTTTGTTATAATTTGGTACTATTCAAAAACCTTTGCATTAGCAAAACAGTTTTCTTTCATCGTATTTATCTTTAAAAACTACATTCGTTTAATTTTGGAGAATCGCTCAATTTTATAAGAAACTTATAAATAAAGTTTTCAATTGAAAATTAAAGGATAACTTCAAAATACCATATGAATTAAACGAAAAATTGCTTCACATTCGGTTATACTTTTTATAATAGAAAAGATTTTTACTTTCTACAATCCATAATAATCGATGAAACTATTTTCCAGAATTGATAGAACCCTAGTTTAATGGACAATAAAATTTGCAACATTGGTGACTTTCCTTGTTCTAGTATTCTATTTTATTAAGAAAATATTCTCAGTAATGTCGTTCAGTTATATCTAAATGAGTCATAAATATTGTTATATTGTATATATTGTATATAAATTTTAAAATACAAATATATGTACATTTTTCCTTTGTAAATTAAATTGTTCTTTTTTATTTTCACAATCACTCTTCATTTGTCATTAGAGATGTTGTAACATATATTCGCCTTGCATAAAAATTTCTTCTTGGATAGGTGCATATTTGGTTAAACTTCCCGTTAATATTACTTTCCATTTAAGTCTTTTTTTATCTAAATTCGAAATTTTAAGCCCACATTTAAATGGATTAAAAATAATTTCCTTCTTTTTTATCGCATACATTTTGTCAAATAAATTTCGATTTCATCCATGAGCTTTTTAACATCCATCGCACTAGTAATTCGTATGAAATGCGAAAAAAAACATCAGATACAGAATCCGACAGGTCTAGTATTTTAGTGATGACATTGACTCCATATCGCATAATTTAATAGACCTAATCAGCTGTAAGCAGTAAGCAATAAGCCGCGTGATGTCATGATATTCCAAATTGTATATGGTACAGTAACAGCTTTGGTAGGATTTACAAGCAACATTATCTATAAGTATAAATTAATATTTTATTGACTTCTTTTTAATTAAAAATTAGTTTGAGTTTAAATAGTTAGTGAAATTATTACAATCATGATTTTATATAGATACTTAGGTGTGGCTAGGTAATAGCTTAGGTGAATAAAAAGGAGGGTAAATAATATAAAGAGATAGAATCTTTATAGTATACACATTAGACTGTTTTCACACCTATTTCTTATATTGTTTAGAGCACTATTTGTGCTCAGTATTCATTTATTATTCATTTAAATAATAAATAATGAGCCACATTATTTTTATTATTTAACAAGACTAATTCGGTATATACTTTGTGATAATGATTGAAATTATATATTTTCAATTTGAGTTCATGTAACCGTAAACATATGCATATATTATACCTTTATACTATAATATATTATAATTATTGTTCTGCGATTGACACAGAACTATTCATTTTATTTAAAAATTATTCTTATCGCTGCACATTAATTGAGTTTATAATGAAATGAAAACTTCAATAATAAAATATGTAGACAGTGTGGTACCCGCATAACACCAATTTGTTTGGCAGAGGTTCATGTTAAGTAAATATGGTATGTGATTCATTGCAGAGGAACTTAAGGGTGAAATATAGAAAATATATTAATATTAATATATATCATATTGTCAGTTCTTCCGTTTTTCAGTATTTGAATTGATAAAGAAATGACTTTGAATATTTTTTCAAATGTTCTCATTTTTATCCCTCGAAAACAGACAGACTCTTTTATGTTGAAGCAGATATGTTATGTTGGATAATATCGGATTATTGAAATAAAGTTTTATATTATTCAACCCATAGGGAATATGTTTTCCGATATCTTTTTACTACCTAAAAGGTACTAACTTTACTATATTACACAAAACTTACATATATGTGAAAAATATAAAAACAGCTTAATTCTTATTAAACTTAGACTAGGTGCTCTCTAGTAATAACAAAATTTAAATTTATTAATAATATTATCAAGATATTTTGAAGTTACAAAACTGCTATAGACAAGTGCAGGCATTTCACCTGGACGCATGTTAAATACAACTTTCATACCGGTACCTACATCGTGTTTTTATACTTTCTTCCTCATCTCATTCCATGTACAAAGTCTTGTCAACCTTTTGTGTGTTTGCTGTGAAATGGGCATTTTGTTACAGCAGTAGCAACAAGAACAGCAACAACAACAACAACAACAACAACAACAACAGATAATACAATAGAATCGTTGGCCTATTTCAGTTAACACTTTTATTTGTTAATTTCTTAAATAAACTTAATCAACTGACGATTATAGTTAACAATGAAATTTATGGACTAATATTGCTGAAGTGTTCTTGCTGAAGTTTCAATATTCATGCATTTCATCACTCTCCAAGATGCCAACTATATAATCACCAAAAATCGATTCATCTCTCTGCCACTTGTTTAATTTTTCCAGTAATAATTTCTTTCAAATGATATATGTACGTCGTATTAATCTTTTTAATTGTTACTGATTCATTTTTTATAACTTTTGGATCAGTTTTGTTGTTAAGTGCAACTGATTTCATTTTAAATTTACATTGTCAATTTATCTTATAAATTCATTGTAAGTTGATATTGTTAGATTATAAATAATTTACTTTACTTTTAAATTTAAGTAATTTCCTCCTTTTACTTTATTTGTTTTTTAGTTGTCGTTTGATAACTGTCATTTACAGTGGTGGCAATAAATATGTTCTTTGATATTGAAATGACATGTTTAATAGTGTATAGTGTACATAATATTATTCGGACAAAACACTTCCACATTAGGCTTTTAGAACAAAATCTTGTAAAATTTTTTCTTATATGAGGTTAGGATTATGTAAATTGAAATGGATTTAGTGCTAGACTTCAAAAAGAAATTAAAATAAGGCATTTTAAAACTGTTTATTTGGTCTGCAATCTCTTTCGCCCATATGGAAAGAATCCGTCTTTTCGAGATATATATGTTCTTTGTGTTTGGTTGAAACTTTTAAGAAAAAAAATGTATTTGAAACAAATGAAACTCTAAATTATTTGAGTTTATAGAATTTTTCTTTGATGTTGTGGTGCTTTTATGTATTTTTAACCATTATATATCATTCATATATATGGTTTATAAATTAATATCTTTTAAGGTTTTTCAATAATTTTTGTAATTTCTATGTAATTATTTTCCTTAAACTTTTACATTGTATAAAAATTATGTGCACTTATTTCATTTACCGATATTGATTTAAACAATATTTGCTTTTAAATTCACTTCAATTACTACTTATTTATAAAATAAATTGTTATATATCATAACAAAAAAATATGTTTTAAATTATTTAAATTTCTTTTCTTAATTTATGTTTAACTAAATTATATATATATATATATATATATGCATAATTTTTTAATTGATTCGTATTATTATGTTTAAGATTTCTCCTCAAAACAAAATTTTTCTTATGAATTTTAAATTTAAAATCAAATTTTTTTTTATATAATAATAAAATATGTAGGAATTGTACTGCTTATAAGATCTTTTCAAATGTGGACTCGGTTATCACCTCCGTTACTCGCGGTCACTTTTTAAATACCTGTTCACCGTCTCGGTATTTCATTATTTTAACGGTGTATAATGCTGCCGTTATTCATATAGTCCAACTTTTTAGTATTGCAGATGATTGTTGGAATTATTATAAATGAGTGTTGGAACACCTATGCTCGATTAATTTCATCACACGTATTTCATTGATATGTTAATTTATTACCACTATTTAAACAAGGATATGTATTGTTTTTAATTGTTAAAAATCTTGAATCTTTTTATTTAATCTCCTTCAGTACCTTTCATTTACAATTTTAATTCACGAAAATTTACAAAAATAAAAAAAATCTTCACAGGTACAAAAAAATTTCTCCCGCACATATAAAAATCATAAAAGTCTTCGAACAGCACTGCACTCGGACTTATATTTTCCGATATCTTGACAGTATCCAAAACACACCTTTTATACGACAGTTTATTCCGAGGTTTTAAAGGTACAGACGCGATCAGCACACTGGCCCATAAGGGCTATCGCGAAGACGGAACCTTTTAGGGCATTGACCTTAATCTTCCACTTACCGTAGTAACGTAGTAAACAAAGAGTCCTAAGGTAATTGTTAAGCTCAATGTACTTTCAACTGGGGAGGTTGGACCTCATGTAGATGAGACAATCATCTGCGTAGCAGATTTGCCTAATGCATTGTGAAGGAAGGGGTAGGTCAGCATTAAAAATATTTAAAAGGATGGGGTATTCGCTAGAAACAGCCATTACTCGAAACAGCTGTATGGTCAGCTAAAAATTCAATTAACTAAAAATTCCGTTTTTACAATTCACTACTGTTCGAAACCTCTCAGTTACATTTTATAATTTTTTACTTGTTATGCCATGATTTTAATTATAAAATAATTAATAATCAATTTAAAAATAAAATATTTTTGTTATAATTTGGTACTATTCAAAAACCTTTGCATTAGCAAATCAGTTTTCTTTCGTCCTATTTGTCTTTAAAAACTACATTCGTTTAATTTTGGAGAATCGCTCAATTTTATAAGAAACTTATAAATAAATTGTTCAATTGAAAATTAAAGGATAACTTCAAAATACCATATGAATTAAACGAAAAATTGCTTCATAGTCGGTTATACTTTTTATAATAGAAAAGATTTTTACTTTCTACAATCCATAATAAGCGATGAAACTATTTTCCAGAATTGATAGAATCCTAGTTTAATGGACAATCAAATTTGCAACATTGGTGACTTTCCTTGTTCTAGTATTCTATTTTATTAAGAAAATATCCTCAGTAATGTCGTTCAGTTATATCTAAATGAGACATAAATATTGTTATATTGTATATATTGTATATAAATTTTAAAATACAAATATATGTACATTTTTCCTTTGTAAATTAAATTGTTCTTTTTTATTTTCACAATCACTCTTCATTTATCATTAGAGAGGTTGTAACATATATTCGCCTTGCATAAACATTTCTTCTTGGATAGGTGCATATTTGGTTAAACTTCCCGTTAATATTACTTTCCATTTAAGTCTTTTTTTATCTAAATTCGAAATTTTAAGCCCACATTTAAATGGATTAAAAATAATTTCCTTCTTTTTTATCGCATACATTTTGTCAAATAAATTTCGATTTCATCCATGAGCTTTTTAACATCCATCGCACTAGTAATTCGTATGAAATGCGAAAAAAAACATCAGATACAGAATCCGACAGGTCTAGTATTTTAGTGATGACATTGACTCCATATCGCATAATTTAATAGACCTAATCAGCTGTAAGCAGTAAGCAATAAGCCGCGTGATGTCATGATATTCCAAATTGTATATGGTACAGTAACAGCTTTGGTAGGATTTACAAGCAACATTATCTATAAGTATAAATTAATATTTTATTGACTTCTTTTTAATTAAAAATTAGTTTGAGTTTAAATAGTTAGTGAAATTATTACAATCATGATTTTATATAGATACTTAGGTGTGGCTAGGTAATAGCTTAGGTGAATAAAAAGGAGGGTAAATAATATAAAGAGATAGAATCTTTATAGTATACACATTAGACTGTTTTCACACCTATTTCTTATATTGTTTAGAGCACTATTTGTGCTCAGTATTCATTTATTATTCATTTAAATAATAAATAATGAGCCACATTATTTTTATTATTTAACAAGACTAATTCGGTATATACTTTGTGATAATGATTGAAATTATATATTTTCAATTTGAGTTCATGTAACCGTAAACATATGCATATATTATACCTTTACACTATTATAATTATTGTTCTGCGATTGACACAGAACTATTCATTTTATTTAAAAATTATTCTTATCACTGCACAATAATTGAGTTTATAATGAAGTGAAAACTTCAATAATATAATATGTAGACAGTGTGGTACCCGCATAACACCAATTTGTTTGGCAGAGGTTCATGTTAAGTAAATATGGTATGTGATTCATTGCAGAGGAACTTAAGGGTGAAATATAGAAAATATATTAATATTAATATATATCATATTGTCAGTTCTTCCGTTTTTCAGTATTTGAATTGATAAAGAAATGACTTTGAATATTTTTTCAAATGTTCTCATTTTTATCCCTCGAAAACAGACAGACTCTTTTATGTTGAAGCAGATATGTTATGTTGGATAATATCGGATTATTGAAATAAAGTTTTATATTATTCAACCCATAGGGAATATGTTTTCCGATATCTTTTTACTACCTAAAAGGTACTAACTTTACTATATTACACAAAACTTACATATATGTGAAAAATATAAAAACAGCTAAATTCTTATTAAACTTAGACTAGGTGCTCTCTAGTAATAACAAAATTTAAATTTATTAATAATATTATCAAGATATTTTGAAGTTACAAAACTGCTATAGACAAGTGCAGGCATTTCACCTGGACGCATGTTAAATACAACTTTCATACCGGTACCTACATCGTGTTTTTATACTTTCTTCCTCATCTCATTCCATGTACAAAGTCTTGTCAACCTTTTGTGTGTTTGCTGTGAAATGGGCATTTTGTTACAGCAGTAGCAACAAGAACAGCAACAACAACAACAACAACAACAACAACAACAGATAATACAATAGAATCGTTGGCCTATTTCAGTTAACACTTTTATTTGTTAATTTCTTAAATAAACTTAATCAACTGACGATTATAGTTAACAATGAAATTTATGGACTAATATTGCTGAAGTGTTCTTGCTGAAGTTTCAATATTCATGCATTTCATCACTCTCCAAGATGCCAACTATATAATCACCAAAAATCGATTCATCTCTCTGCCACTTGTTTAATTTTTCCAGTAATAATTTCTTTCAAATGATATATGTACGTCGTATTAATCTTTTTAATTGTTACTGATTCATTTTTTATAACTTTTGGATCAGTTTTGTTGTTAAGTGCAACTGATTTCATTTTAAATTTACATTGTCAATTTATCTTATAAATTCATTGTAAGTTGATATTGTTAGATTATAAATAATTTACTTTACTTTTAAATTTAAGTAATTTCCTCCATTTACTTTATTTGTTTTTTAGTTGTCGTTTGATAACTGTCATTTACAGTGGTGGCAATAAATATGTTCTTTGATATTGAAATGACATGTTTAATAGTGTATAGTGTACATAATATTATTCGGACAAAACACTTCCACATTAGGCTTTTAGAACAAAATCTTGTAAAATTTTTTCTTATATGAGGTTAGGATTATGTAAATTGAAATGGATTTAGTGCTAGACTTCAAAAAGAAATTAAAATAAGGCATTTTAAAACTGTTTATTTGGTCTGCAATCTCTTTCGCCCATATGGAAAGAATCCGTCTTTTCGAGATATATATGTTCTTTGTGTTTGGTTGAAACTTTTAAGAAAAAAAATGTATTTGAAACAAATGAAACTCTAAATTATTTGAGTTTATAGAATTTTTCTTTGATGTTGTGGTGCTTTTATGTATTTTTAACCATTATATATCATTCATATATATGGTTTATAAATTAATATCTTTTAAGGTTTTTCAATAATTTTTGTAATTTCTATGTAATTATTTTCCTTAAACTTTTACATTGTATAAAAATTATGTGCACTTATTTCATTTACCGATATTGATTTAAACAATATTTGCTTTTAAATTCACTTCAATTACTACTTATTTATAAAATAAATTGTTTTATATCATAACAAAAAAATATGTTTTTAATTATTTAAATTTCTTTTCTTAATTTATGTTTAACTAAATTATATATATATATATATATGCATAAATTTTTAATTGATTCGTATTATTGTGTTCAAGATTTCTCCTCAAAACAAAATTTTTCTTATGAATTTTAAATTTAAAATCAAATTTTTTTTAATATAATAATAAAATATGTAGGAATTGTACTGCTTATAAGATCTTTTCAAATGTGGACTCGGTTATCTCCTCCGTTACTCGCGGTCACTTTTTAAATACCTGTTCACCGTCTCGGTATTTCATTATTTTAACGGTGTATAATGCTGTCGTTATTCATATAGTCCAACATTTTAGTATTGCAGATAATTGTTGGGATTATTATAAATGGGTGTTGGAACACATATGCTCGATTAATTTCATCACACGTATTTCATTGATATGTTATTTTATTACCACTATTTAAACAAGGATATGTATTGTTTTTAGTTGTTAAAAATCTTGAATCTTTTTATTTAATCTCCTTCAGTACCTTTTTTTTACAATTTTAATTCACGAAAATTTACAAAAATAAAAAAAATCTTCACAGGTACAAAAAAATTTCTCCCGCACATATAAAAATCATAAAAATCTTCGAACAGCACTGCACTCGGACTTATATTTTCCGATATCTTGACAGTATCCAAAACACACCTTTTATACGACAGTTTATTCCGAGGTTTTAAAGGTACAGACGCGATCAGCACACTGGCCCATAAGGGCTATCGCGAAGACGGAACCTCTTAGGACATTGACCTTAATCTTCCACTTACCGTAGTAACGTAGTAAACAAAGAGTCCTAAGGTAATTGTT